AGTCCTAAAGCAACAACTTGCATTTAGAGGGAGAGAAGCGCATTCCAAACATTCTGGCATTGTTGCTTAGTGCTATCAAAAGACTGCATTTTTTCAGGGTCTTCAACAAACAGGACTATATCATCTGCGTATTCTAAGTCGATAAGTGGACCTCCTGGAAGAATATCAATACCTCAGAATTCAGTCGACGAGAATGTTAATTTCATCAACAGGTCTATGATGAAGTTAAACAAAAATGGAGAAAGTTGAGAGCCTTGACGGACACCACTTGAGGTTGCAAAAGCAGATGACAGTTCGCCATAAGCTCTGACTCGACTGGTGGTGTTCGAGTAAAGAGCCTTCACAAGGTTTATTTACTTCTGAGGTACGCCTTTCAATGACAGACACTGCCACAGAATCTCGCGGTCTACCGAGTCAAATGCTACTTTTCAGTCAAGAAAGACCACCATTGTCGGACGCCGATAAGTATGCCTATGTTCTAAAACCTGACGAATGGTGAATATGTGGTCGATGCAGCCACGACCAGGTTTGAAGCCAGCTTGATCCTCTCGTGTTTGCAGTTCACGAGTCTTAGTTAGGCGTCTGATAATTATCGAGGCTAGTATTTTAGATACTATATTAGTTAAACTAATCCCTCTATGGTTGTCACAAGATGATTTTGACCCTTTCTTATATGTTGGGACGATAAGTGATTGTGACCAGTCAGATAGAATAACGTCTAAGTCCCAGATCTTAGCTAAAATACTAGTCAACCTAATCGCTAAAATTGGACCACCATAATTAAATACCACTGGAACCAATTCATCTGCTCTTTCTCGACTTCGGATTGGAATCGGGGGACCTACTTCAATGTTCCATTCAGGCTGTTTGGGAATGGTGTGAATTTGTAGAGTAGTTGAAGGCCAGCTGAACTGCTCCTTAAAATGTTCCGCCCATCGTTCTAAACGTCTGGACTGAGAGCAGATAAGAGTGTCGTCTTTTTCCGAGATCGCCTCACTTACACTTGATTTATTAATTCCAGTTTCTTTTATTAGTCTGGATCAATGTTTGGCGTTACCTACAGCGGCTGCCTTTTCCATCTCTTGCTTTCGCTGCCCACCACTGCTGATGGTCATTCCTTAGACTTTTGGTTAACCTATATCTGATTTGTTTTCGTTCTTCATTGTGTCCAGAGCTTGATGGAGTGTTTACGAGAATCCATCAGTGGAATAGACTTAGTAGAAATCCATTGGCTTTTCGTGACCGTTTGGTTCAAATCACTAATAGATGTCACTGCTTTTTCAACAGCTGTTCGTATATCTTTCCAAGCAATATATGGGTCAGCCTCCTTTTCAGACCTATCGAAGTGTGACCTCAGTTGTTCATGGAATCTACTTTTGGCACTTCGTCACTGAGTCCAACCCTAACGTAGTTTTTCTGCATCCAGTGAGGAGCAAGCAGATGTGGGCTCGTATTAAGGCATGATCGGTGTCCAAACAGGTATTTGAGAACAAGCGAGTCTTCTATCGAGCCTCTCCGACGATGACTGATGGTAATGTGGTTTATTTGAGTTTATCGTTGGCTTGGTGCAGGGGGTCGCTATGTTAGACGATGTCTCTCCTTAAGCTTAAAATTAGTGTTTGTTAAAAATAAACGATTGTTTGAGCATAGTTGCAGCAGACGATCACCATTATCTGTTCGCTGAGCCGGAATGTCAATATACCAACCTAAATGTCTTTCTGTTTGGTTTAAGCTACCTACCTAGGCATTAAGGTCACCTGCTACGAGTACTATGTCTGAACGTTTAGCTTTATGAAGAAGTACAGAAAGCTTTCCGTAAAACTCATCCATCACTTCATCCGGACTACTGTCAGTGGGAACGTAGGCAGAAACGACGAAAAGACAACGACGTATCCCTATCCTTTCGAGTTCTTATGGAGCCGTTCAGCTGAACTACACTTAGATGATTGTTAACGGGGATCCATTCTAATGGTGCTTGTTCTGCCCTCGTACTCAGTGCTACATCTACACCCGCCAGTCCACGAGAACTAGCCATCGGGTCGCCAGATATACGGAGGGTGTTTCTCGTCGGCTCCCCGTTTTGGCAAGGTGAGGTCAAGTGAGTGACCACACTAGGACCCTGTATGTGTGTTTCGGAGACATAGCATACATCAATAGTATGAGATTCTAGGGTTTCAGCCTAAGAGGGTGCGTACGTTGAAGGCTTCAATGTGTAGTTTGGAGCGAGGTTTCAGTAGACCTGGGGCAGCGTTTCGCGCACTAGAGTCGTTGGCCATGGTGACACTTGCGAAGGAAGTTTCGAGTTGAAAGTCGAGGTAGGAGGAATAATAGAAAATGAGGAGGGACACTGAGTATGAATACAATGATCTTGAGTGCTGTTAGAGCTATGAGGGCGGTTATCACTTCCCAGTTGCCCACACCGTGGAAGGGTTCTTCTGGAGGTACCTGAAAAGGAAATCGTATTAGAAGTGGTCTTAGTGACCTGGGAGCGTGACTGCAGTGCCCAAGGGACAACTGCTTGAGGTCGGCCACACACGACCTTTTTATGGGCAATTTTTGTGTTAGCTCCGTACTTGTTGAGACCTTACCGCCGGAGACGGTTATCCGTGGGATAAGGCGAGGTGTGCATTTTCAGGGCCGACCTTTTCTAACCCCACCCCTCCTTGTGGGAGGGCAGCATCGCTGTAATGCTGGTTTTCTGAAGGAATCACCATACTGCCGTCGCACCTCAATACAGTAAGAAGTACGATTTCGCCCTCGTACATTGGGTTTACTGCTTTTAATCTTACCGCTCTTCAACCGACTTGTCTGGCATGGTAGGACCTTGAGGAACGATTGTCCCAGCCAGTATAACCCGATTGGTTCATCACAATAAGCAAGGTCGACCACCATGCCAAGGTAGCAGCAACGATCGGGATTTCGTGGAGTAGGGGCTGCGAACTAACAATCAGAGGTTACTTCAACAATCAAAAACTTCGTGCATTGATCCCAAGTTTTGGTTATCCCTAGTAATGGTAAAAATAGTTGAGTTTTTGCCGTAAATATCATTACAAAATACTTTTTGAAAGAGCTAAGTTATGAGGTTAATAGATTATTTAGAACTGTTGGTTTCATAATTTCTCCAGATGAAAAGACGATCGAATTTTATCTGTACTAATAACAGGATATCGATCAAAAACAACATGCAGAAGACAATGTCACTTTGTCAACCAAACAGCAGACAATTTTATGGATCTTCAAAGTAGATGTTTATTAGTCCCACAAGAATGACTAGTTTCAAAATGCCGGTATTTAGTGTTTACATACATACTGAGAGAAAGCGGAGAGTCTCCAAATAGAATTACGAAATTTAAACTGTTACATATTTATCTTTAATAAACCCAATATTCATGAGATTAATAGGTTAACTAAGATGTTTACAACGAATTTCTTGGATGATATTCAACTAATAAATGATATTCTGTGAAATTCGCCAAAGAAAAGTGATATGTAAAATATTTACAAGCAAACTTGAGAAAAAAGAATTTTAACTAAAAGTGATACCTGAAACATATAAAAAGCAACATACACCAGATTTCAGATGCCGCCACTCTTCTCTTATTTCTTGTCCCGGTAGTAAAGGACCAATAGTATCAATCTCTTCAAAGTTAGTGGAAGATTTATAATTGGCTGATTCCGACTCTTTATTTAATTTCTGTTTGAATAAATCAGAGGGTAATGCAGGGCCTATCCCAGTGGATGGAACAAGATCATCAGGCTGAAAAACTGGTCCAAACACTCGATTGTCATTTTTGGAATCGGTTTTTCTAGACATGCCAACTTTATAAAACCTAAGTAATATATTGAAAATTATTATTATCATTATTAGTACTTCACTTACCTATGACGAATCATATTACATAATGAGTTATTATTAGTAGGAGTAAATCATATTGTTGTAAGTGGAAAAAGCCTACTCTATAGTGATTATTAATGACGCATGAACGCTAACAAGTGCTGTAATCTCACTGTTTCAACGTTTTGTACGAACAACCATATTTCGTGTTTGCACATCAGATTGACTTTGGATAGACCATGACTACAAACCATGAACCATTGGACATGTTTTATACTGATATAGGGCTCATCGGGAGTGGTTATCAACAACTGGACCAGGAGTAGAACCCATGACTTACTGAGCTCATGACGAGCACTTATCTCTCAGATAATTGAATTACCATCCAACGGTTAATACGTCTAGCTTCAGTTAGTTATTAATATTTATCCAAGGGATTTTTAGATTTCAGTGGTTGTTTAATCAAGATCAGTCTAAGATGCAGAATTACAAAACCCGGTCATCGCCACAAAACTCATTTAAGAATGCGTAAAAATAAATCAGATGCAAACATATCGTGTTTATTTCTTCTTATTCATCTTGAAAGTTTTTAAATCGAGTTTTCTTCTTGATGAATAGTTAAATGTGATGCACATTACAAGCATAAAGCACTTCCATTGGATAACAATTTCCATTTTACATAAAAATACGGATTGTTATCCAGATTAGTTTAAATCGGGAAATAAGATTTCCAGATATACAAATGTATGATCTAGAAATGCACATAAATATTATTACCGAATCGTCAATCAAGCACAGATTTATAAACTTGGCATCGGCTCACACTGTACAGTATGAGAGCTAATGATACTAATTGCTTACTCAATCGACAGTACGTAGAGCTATATAGGCGTTCATCAGTTGTTTTAAACACACACACATACACACAGATTATGATAAGAAATAATCTACTATCGAGATTATTATTAATTTTTCAAGACGAAACAGCTTATGTAATGTTACTTATAGAATAGAAAAGGGTATGGAAATCAATACAATACATCAAAACAGTGTAACAATCATGAAGATAAACAAAGGAATAAAGAAAATACATTGTTAAAAACATTGGGAGTTAAGAAAATATATTAGTTTCGAATTATGTCCATATTGTCATAGGAAAAAAGATTTAAACGAAATATGGTATTAACTTTTGATACGTGACAACAAAAAGTATGAGTAGAACACCGGAAATATAAATTTGTAATAAACGCAACTCAGTTGGGAGATAACATTTATTTACTGAATAATTTGTGGACGATATTGAAAGCTGTAAAACAAGAAAGATATGAGGAAATAGTAAATATTGCAAAAGAAAATAATCAGCATTGTACATTATCACAGAATCCAACTTTATCAATGATATTAGTGTAATTTCTAAAAAAATACTAAATACTCTCTCAATTAGCTGTAAGGTGGTGGAGGTAGTTGTCGAAATCACTGAAACCTAGGTTTCACGCTATTTAGCACTCATCAGCAAGGTGTACCTGTAAGTTTAACGGACTGATACTCGCTGAAGGATTTAACTCTGTATCACCTATCCAAGGTTTCCCGTTAACTATTTTCAACCACTATTTTACAGCTCGACACAGTGCACGAAATGCTAAATCACTTAGACTAGTAGCCACATTGCAACTTGACTGATAGAATTCGATCAGAACTGAGGAATTGACAAACAATATTAGTCTCTATCCAGTGATCAATCGATCGTTTATCGTTTATTAGGCAACACATTCACATCTATCTAAAAAGGAGGTAGTATAATTACACCGATAATGCAAGGACGTATACGCAGTAAAAGTATAGGTAGCTCACGCATGCGCGTATTGATTTAATGAGTTATGTGCTGCACCTATATTCGTTCTGGCTTTATTTAAATTCATAAAGCGAACTAATGGTATGTGCGTTATTTTGTCACAGTTAGGTCTAGACGATGGCTAGTCAAACTTACATTCGAGCCTGGTAAATATTCACATAGATTCAATTTGCTTCAAAATATCACCATAACGGGATGCCAGAGTAGTGATAATGTCAGTGGTAGCAGAAAAGGTTAGGCACAGAAGACACGACTCGGAAAGAAAATATGGATTCATGGAATAAAACACGACATTTTATGATAGTTAAGAAACATATGATTGGCATGATGGGATGAGTAGTAGGGTGAGTATAACTCGTGTAAATATCATATGGAGAATTTTTATTTTTGTTGAATATTTAGTATACCTTTGTACTTATTTTACGTTTTCCTACTGTCAATCTTTTGTTTGACCCATAAATCGTTGTTTATTTTATCGCAACACATAAATATTGGTATAAGAGGGCACCAAATATATATGCGCCACACGATATTTGTGTATGTGCGGGCTGTGATACTGCCCGGGTGCCCAGACCGAAACAGGTGGTTTTCTTAGGGGGCCACACCCCGAGCCTTCGACCTATAGGTCTAACCCACAAGGCAGTGGAGCATCGTGAGGAGATGCATTCCCATGGTAGCCGGTGACCAACGATTGGTTCATACGCCATTTGTTCCTGCAGGATACTAGAGTCCATGTGCACCATTGGTTTGGGATCCGGTTAAAGCGCCAGACATTCGCTTTTTGTCCTCTCACTTTCGTAAACAACACCCCCGCCACGAAAATGCAATGAGTAGGACTTCCCTGGCAGAGGCTGTATACACGTGGCCGTGTGAGAGCATTTCGAGAGGGAGGAGGGCCCACCCCACTCTCGGTCACACCAGGGTATTTGGGGGCCATAAATCGTTGTCACGTTTTATTATTCCAGATTTATCATTAATTAGTCAATTCTCTATTAATCCGGTTTTGGATCACTTATAACTACGTTATGTACACATTGTATTAACTTAATTGTGTTGCTGTGTTTAAAAATTTCAGTTATATTATCATATGGGTTTTGAGTTATAACTGAATCGAGTGATATGAGGAACTAATATGCTTTCGATCTTCGCCTTCTGAATGGTCACTTTCTTAGGAGCTCGAGGATGAATAAACATAAAGGATGCATGTGCCAAGTGGTAATTAGGTTAGCGATCCTACGAAGGTTAAGGATGAATAAATCGGTAATGGAACTAGAGATCATACAAATACCTTCTCGACATTACGGCCCAATCATACTGACTATACTGCATTCTAATCAGACTCAAATTCGATATACTGAATGGTCAGTTTTTTAACCAATCAGTGCTAGTGGACGAAATGAGATGATAGAAGACTTTTATATAAATTTTATATAAGCTCTAGTGTTTTTACTGATATCTTTCTTGTTCGGACTAATGGACCTTATTTTATTTGCTTTTAATTCTTGTCCCGATTTGAGAAACGTCTAACAAATTCAAGTGGTCAGGGAATACTGAACAATCGAAAATATCAATCTATTAGACATTCTTGAAATGACCAAACAAAATTTATCTCCTATTAACTGAAGATCTAGAAAACGAATTAGCCTTATATAAAACAAACTATTGACAATGCAACTCCGTAATCAAGTTTATGTTAGTATGTTGTACTATCCGCCTAAACAAATACAAAATGAATTTGATGGGGCTCGAATAAGTAGTCATATATTGAGATGACTTGTGGTTTACCCATTAAGCCGCCTCGCTATAGTGTTTTGAGAAACTATAGGATATGAAATACGGTAACGACAGTCACTCTTGTAAAATACCAATTACAGAAATCTGAATTAATCTCCTTGATTATTTATTTGAGACTCTTTTAATTTTAGTGAACCTAGGACAAAAGCAAATTCTATCGGTTGTGTGATAAAGTGAGATCAGTTACGCGTCCTTTATTAGTTGAATAAACTAAAAGACTAAAATTTGTAACGCTGTCACATATTAATCGAGATAGAAATTGTACCACTGGGCGCCTACCCAGTTTTTTTAATGGGCGATCATTTGCTGAGATTTGAAGGTCCCGAGTTTGATAAATGATGAGGCCTTGAATGAACGTTGATGTATAGCGCATAATGGGATGAAACAATTCCCAGGTGTCACCTAGCTTTTGGTGATACAACATAAAGATTAGACCAATCTGCACAAAACCCCTTCAACAAAGATTGAACTAGTTGATTTTTCTTACTAAATATTTCTTCATTTAATTTGTAATGGTTCGAATTACCTCTACCATATTTTGACTAAAATTTGATCAGAGTTGGGATTTGTGCATCCCGAGAAAATCGCCTAAAAATAGCCATTGTGACAAGCTTACATAAAATAGATGGAATGTTGCTAGCAGTGAAATTTTAGAGGTTCATTTCGTCCTATTTGAGACCCGTCAGCTGGATGTGCCTGCATACTATGTCCTCTTTGGTACTAAAACTCAGTAACACTCCGAACGATAACACGTCATCAACTTAGCCTCTAAGTTCAAACAGTTACTTGCTCAACAGATTCGAGTTTTAATTCAATCTATAGTGGTTTGAATTATCCCGTTGTTGATATTTTGACTGAAATTTGATCAGTCTTGGTACATCATCTCTGAGATCCAGGTACATCCAGCTGATGAGTATCAAATACGATGAAACACGCGATCTGGATTTCACTGCTAACCAAATTTCACTCATTCTAAGTATAAATATTTCCTGATTTTATTTCACAATCACTCATCTTATTATTTCCACTTTATCGATTCTCATTTTGTTCAATTTCTTTCGTCATTGATGCTTTGAATAAAGCATGGTATAGATTAAATTATTGTCTATGCATATCATTGTAACTTAATCAATATTGTTCATGAATTAACTAAAGTCAGTTGAAGTAGGAATAACTCCGGTAAATTGCATATATTACGGATAATAGCCCAATTAATATACCATTAGAAATCCAGGATTTGCGAGATTTCTCCAAGAGAAGCTAGCAACTGACCATTCCACAGCAGAATCCGATTGGTTACCGAATCGATGTGACATTTTACATGAGTAATGTGTATGACCAGATAGTATTAGTCGTGGACGAAGAGATTCCAGTAACTAATTTTATAAAAAAAGAATGATATAATTATAATTCCGACAGCAGGGATGAAGTTTTGATATTGCTCAGATTATAGTCATAAATAATATTGACATTTTGGAACGAGAATTCAACATTTTGCGTTCAAAACTATAAATTACCGCCACAGTGACAGATATCAAACTAGCAATAACTGATAGTCGATGTTTGTACATGAAAGCCGAACTTCTATGAATTAAAATTCCTTCTTAAAATTGGTACTGACTATTTTGACAACAAATGATTATCCTTTAGAAGTGGTTTACGTGTAATATACCAAAAAAGTTCGTTTAACACTAAAATGGTGTGATGTCATAGCCCTCACACAAATCAATGATAACCGCTACTGGTTTCGTTGTTATTGTGTGGAGTATATGTACTTGGTGCCCTCTTGTACCAATGTTTATGTGTTCAAATAAATAAATCATCACATACCACCAACTATCAACAACCTAGATAGGCAATTTTAATGTAGATGTAGGCTGGAAGAAATTAGGGGGTGGTCAGTCCAAGACTCAGCAACAGGTCATGTAAACATTGACAACTGGACTAAGCCATGTAGGTATGTGGAGCCTAATTGGTTGGGGTCCGTGAGATTATCGAAACTCTAATATAACTCAGAATCGTACTCAATGGTGTAGGAGCATTCGCTCTTAGTTTCTCACGAGACCGTGAGCCTTGAAATCTCCTTATACATTTTTTCTACACTTAGTCCTCGATATTATTGCTATTAACACAGTTTCTACTCCTACAAAGGGATCTATCTTAATAATTTTAACTTGTTCTGGTAATCTGGTGTGGCAACTTGAACTGATGCCCATATGTGCCAGGTCCCATATTGGATGACAAGGAATGATATTAGTTGGAAAACGGTTGAGAAACTAGGACAAAGACCAAGGTGATCACGAACGGCCTGGTTCTAGGTAGAGGTTCACCAATGCCCATCGACTTGAAGCCTTGGACGATTCCTAATCAGGCTCGGTCAGGTGTGTAGTACTTTTTAGTGAACAGATCCTCAAACTAACTCTTGAAACAGAGCGGTTAAGGCCTTCAATTTACAGTCATTAGACTGCAGGTATGAATACCGCTCGACTTGGATCGTTAGCCCTTGTGCTTAGAGTGTGGTTTAAAGTCAAGTACAAAAATCTTTGACTGGTAAATGATTTATCAGTCAGATTAGGATGAAATTCAGGACATAAATTGCACTGAAAGTGTTTTGTATTGACTTGGGACACATAAGAAGTGTCCACATAGCGACAGACTGAAATTTTATGGAGAACCTTCTGTGAAATATGGTGTCAATAACAAACCAGAGTCAAGCAGTTACTTATGGATGATATTTTAAAGTAACTGGATCGCATTGCCTGGTTTAGCGTATATTTTCGGAGGTTATTTCAAAATAGAAACAGATCAATAAAGCATAAAAATCTAATTTGAATGAATGTGTAACCGATTTTACAGGTAAATAAAGCTTGTTTTTGAAGACAGGTAATATATATGAACTTAAAAATTCATATTATTACATTCAAGATATACAAAATACTGGTGAAATTCGGGATCTACTTGTTTTGTTGCCTCTTTTGAAAGACAATCAAGTTTCGGTCTGTTTACAGTTTTTCTCAAGTGTTTAGGCATAGCATCCATTGGTTTTGTAGAGCATCCACTATCAGAAGTGCGATATAGGGGGAAATGTTGTAAAATAACCGGACGTGAATAGACGAAAGAAGATGGATCTGGAATAAGAGGAAATTTGGGTAAAATGGGACGAGTATAACAATAAGACTTCTGAAAAAGCTAAACATTTACACAAATAAATGATGATCACATGTTTGAAGAGAAATAAATGGTTACACTAAACGGTACACATGCATTTTACACAAGTCAACTAGACAGATAATACTAATAACGAGTACAGTACAACTAACCTAGCATCTCAATAATCATATCATATCTTATATGTGTTGTTCTAATTTCGACAATGGGAATCTTTAATATCATTTTTTAACATGTTAAAGATGCATCAAGAAAAGCTTTCTCTGTTTTACCTAATATTAATTCAGTTTGAAGAAAATATACATTATTGATTATTATAGTATGACCATACATTGACAATGAAAATGAATTCACAGTTAAAAGCCTTTAATTTTGAAGAAAGACAATTGTGTATCCTATTAATCATCCATAATCAGAGTAAAGCTGTGTAATACTTTAACAATAAGAAAATTACAAAGAACGGTTTTTAAATCCCTAATGTTTTGTGGTGGTTTATCAGTTCTTTGGCACCTAGAAATCGATTAATGACCATACGGAATAAAATGGTTAATCAAGGTGGTCACTCCACTTCGAGAACTGTCACAAACTCTAGTGACTAGCGAGATCTCAGTAAGGATGACAATACGTCGTTTGGCTTTTCGAAATGCACCAGATGTGATGCAAAGAACACGTTCGTCTATTTATTAAGCTGTCGGTACACTTAAGGTTAATATATTTTGTACTGCCTGGAAGTTTTGAAATATGGCTTATGAGACTAGAAGATATGTGTAGCTTACTAACATTTGATCATAGACACCTTTGAAGTATCAGCTGTATATAGTCGGACCACCAAATGCGTAACACTGAGTTTGGACGTAGGAAAATATGTAAAAATGGCAAATCTATTATAATTGAGAATGTAATCCTTCATTGATTGATGTGATGACATATGTTACATGTAACAATACACCGTCTATTCGTGGACATTACTACATTGGCCAGTGTAAAAGTAATATGAATAAAGACTAACAAGTATCAAACTGAGACTTAGTAGGAGTCCATAAAACCACCGACTGTTGGACTGAGACATGTCGACAAGAGTAGACTCATTGGTTAGTGTCTGTGAGATAAACGCAATCAATCGTTGAATAGCTCAGGTGACACGAATAGAAGTCTGTCTCAGTATTATATATATATCTATATTCTTTAGCCTGAATATTATTTTGGATATTTTACTCTTCGATAGTATACCTTTTTTACTAAACCATATTATCTGTTTTTAGTTTTTACCAACAATATTATGAATAGTAGTTTTACTTTTCTGATTAAAATTTTGGTAATTTACTTTCGCTATTCTTATGTGAAGTGTGGCAACTCGAACTGATGGACACATGTGCCAGGTTTTGTGTCGCGTTTGCCTGACCAACGTTTTAATACGTTCATGTTACCTATGATAATGAATATGGATAACGACTGATTAGTTTAAAACTTATTTCCTTGGCATATTCCTTTTCAAAACCAAAGTTTGCAGTGTTAAATATGTAACTACAAATGAAAATAACTAAAAAAATTTGAATGATCTACAGTTATGTTTGTCAAGAAGGCATATAGTATTTTGATGAGGTGATTTATTGAGAGATCTGGATAAAAGTTGAACAAGTTCATACTAAAGTACCGGTGAACGAGTGAAATCAAAAATTATTGTATAATATCCTCTTGAAAACCTGGAAAATAAAACAAGCACTCCACTCTCGTCAATTCCACCTGTAGCCCTTCTAGGGGAATTGCCGGTTCCAAACCCAGAAATAGAGTGGAATTAAGCATGGAGTCAGCAAACACGTCTCATAGAAAACGAACATGTTAAAAAAAAGCTGACCGTAAAAAAATCACGTAAACCGTTAAAGCCCGGCCATTAGAGTTGTCGGATCTTCACTCACAAAAATAATGGTGCCTCATGGTCAAAGCCGAGATTCTTCGAAAATCATGGGGCCGATTCCGCTTCTAACAACCAGAGCAACAATCAGTATGGGTACATGGAATGTTCGGACAATGTGGGAAACCGGGAAGATCAACCAAATAGCTACGGAAATGAGGAAATACAACTAAGCAATGCTCGGAATCAATGGAACCCATTGGACTCAAGCTGGAAAGAAAAGGATAGATTCTGGAGAGATGCTGCTGTACTCTGATCACGAAGAACGAAATGCTCCACACACTCAGGGAGTTGTTCTGATGTTGTTCAAAGAAACACGAAATGCACTTATTGAGTGGGAATCTCATGGACCCAGGATCGTCAAAGCATCCTTCAAAACAAAAAAAAACAGGGAATCATAATGAATCTTATCCAATGTTAGACACCCACCAATGATAACAACGACGACGATAAAGATCAGTTTTACGAGAGGCTGCATTCAACCATAGCGAAGTGCTCAGGAAAGGACCTGACCATCCTGATGGAGGACCTGAATGCCAAAGTCGGAATGGACAACGCCATGTATGAAGATACCATAGGACGACATGGACTGACTGGGAGAAAGAAACGAGAATGGTGAGAGATCTGCAAATCTATATGTATTCAACAAAGCGGTTATAAGAGGAACGATATTCCCCAACAAACACACACACAAATACACGGGTCTCACAGGATCACACTACAGGGAACCAGACCGATCACATATGCATCACTAAAAAATTCAGAAGGACAACGGAAGACGTGAGAACCAGGAGAGGAGCTGAAATAGCCTCAGATCACCACCTGGATGTGGTCAAAATGAAACTAAAGCTAAAGAAACACTGGACAATTGGGGAAACAGCATAACAAAGGTTCAATACAGCCTTCCTGCGAGATACTAACAAACTCAACGGACTCAAGATAAATCTCAACAACAGGTTCCAAGACTTACAGGATCTACTGGAAGAAGACTATGGAGGTACTATGGAGGACAACTGGAAAAGGATCAAAGAAGCACTAATCTCAACGTGTCAGGAGGTTTTGGGTAGCAAGAAACATCATCATGAGGAATGGATATTTATCGAAACCCTGGACAGGATTCAAGAAAGGAAGAAAAAGAAGACAACGATTAACAACAGCCAAACACGAGCAGAGAAAGTCAAAGCACAAACTGAATACACAGAAGCCAACAAGCAAGTGATGAGGAGCATCAGAGCCGACAAGCAGAAATACGTAGAAGACCTAGTAGCGACAGTGGAAGAAGCTGCAAGAGAGGGAAATATGAAACAACTATACGATACAACGAAGAAACTAGCATAGGGATATAGTAAACCAAAGACACCAGTCAAGGACAAAGAAAGCAAGACAATCACTGACATTCAAGAATAGAGTGACAGATGGGTAGAATACTCCGAGAAACTCTTGAATAGACCAGCTTCACTGAACCCGCCGTCATCGAGGCAGCACACATGGACCTTCCTATAGATGTCATCACATGAACAATCGAATAAATCAGCATGGGCATCAGAAAAACGAAGAGTAGGAAAGCTGCAGGTCCTGACGACATATCACATGAAGCACTGCAGTCAGACAGAAAGATGACTCTAAAGATACTCCACGTTCTATTCAGAAAGATATGGGAGGAAGAAAAAGTGATAACAGACCGGGAAAAGTACATCGTCAATAAATCAATAAAGGAGATCTCAGCGAGTATGAGAACTCAGCTTTGGAGGCATCACACTACTGTCGGCACCAGGAAGCGCTTTCAACAGTGTTGTTGAGTATGCTTAGTATGCTTAGTCTCTGCTTTCTCTTTCTTCTGGTGGTCGACTATATTATGAAGACCTCTATATCTGGGGTAAGCATGGAATATAATAGACAGCTTGGATGCAGCCAGACGATTTGGATTTCGCAGACGACATAGCTCTTCTATCTCATACACACGAACAAATTCAGGTAAAGACAGACAGTGTAGCAGAAGCCTCTGCATCAGTAGGCCTCAACATACACAAGGGGAAAAGCAAGATATTGAAAATCAACACAGAGAACACCAAACCAATCATACTTGATGAAGGAGCTCTGGAACAGGTGCACAGCATCATCTGTAAACAAGGAGGATCCGATGCAGATGTAAAGGTGAGGCTTGGCAAAGCGAGAGTGACATTCCTACAGTTGAAAAAGATCTGGAACTCAAAACAACAAACAAGAGGAAATTCAGAAGAGATGATAGAAGTGCATAGGACATACGTTGTGAAAATCATCAAACTGAATCACGAAACAAGTGCTAACTTAGATCCTAAAGGGAAACAGAAAAGAGGAAGACTAAAGAACACACTGCGTCGGAAGTTAGAAGCAGATATGAAAAGGGTGAATAACAACTGGAAACTACTGGGAAGGATTGTCCAGGACAGAGTTCGATGAAGAATGCTGGTGGGTGACCCATGCTTCTTCACGAGGGGTAACAGGCATAGGTGAGTGCTCTGGTCAGAAAGTCGTGCAAATAATAAATATAAGTAAATCGAAGACAAAAACTGCCACTGGATTGTAAGGATCAACAGGTGACCTTATATGGTGAATACATTTTCAATAACTAAAAATTTATAGTGATTTAAGCTTAACCACAGAAAAACCAGAAGTAATGAACAATCGGAAAGCCTTGTCATAACAAACTATTGATGAGTATTTTAAATTGGTAAGTTTAGAAACAGAAGTAATGTAAAACTGCTTTTAGGTAGACTCAAAATGAGCTTTATAATTGAATGATATCTTTAAAGAGGTGTACGCTTCATAATCTAAACTACTTAAATCATGAGTGATAAGTTCGTGTTAACCTACCATTAAGGTCAACATCAATGTATGGCAATTTGTCAGAAAGGCCCATACCAAGTTCCTTGGAATAACAACTCTTGGTATTAGATGGAGTAGACATCTTCAAACAATCAAGATATCTCGCAATCGATTTCAATATGAAATTGGCTTCAAAACATAAATCACAATTGTCACCTTCAAAAGCGATACTGTTTGCAATAACGAAATGGATGCCAAAGAAGGACCACAGATAAATAGGCGGTGTATAAATATTGTCTCCAACATCCCGGTGAAATCGATTATTCAAAAACTCATTAGTGCTAAATAAGAAAACGAAATTTTTTACCGTGAAATGCTTCTCCTACTATAAATAGCTATTTTATAATTTTTATTATCTCTATATATCTAATACAATCAAACATACCTTACCTCGCAACCTGTCATCTTGTGCTCCCAAATGCCCTGATACGGTAGAGAATGGAGAGTCCGCTCTCCCTCTCGAAATGCTCTCAAATAGCCACGCGTATATAGCCTCTGCCAGGGAAGTTCTACTCACTGCCTTCTCGTGGAGGGGGTGTTGTTTACGAAAATGAGAGGACGAAAAGCGAATGTCTGACGCTTTAACCGGATTCCAAATCTATGGTGCACATGGGATCCAGCATCCTGCAGGAACAAATGGCGTATGAACCAATTGTTGGTCATCGGCTACCATGGGACTGCATCTCCTAAAGTTGCTCCATTGCCATGTAGATTAGACCTTCAGGCCGAAGGCTCCGGGTGTGGCCCCCAAAGAAAGTCACCTGCTACGGTTTGGGCACCCGGGCGGTATCACATCCCACACATAAATCAAGCGACTTGTGCAGCGCATATATATTCGATGGCCCTTTGTACCAATATTTATGTGTTCAAATAAACACATAAATAAAGATTATCGTCTTGTCCTTTGTTTATCTTTAGTATAAGCAAGGTAGAAGCAAATCTAGAAGTCGGTATTGTTTGATGTTGTCATATTCAGGGTATTTTCATACCAATAAAAATTAAAGAGATTGTTAGTTTGAATACAGGGTGCATTGGATTTAAAACAGTGGCTACACAACTGACAAGAATTGTAACTAACCTTACGTACGATGTGATAAGAAATATTTGCAAACAAAAAAACTTTGCATAACAATTAATTAGGAAAGATGACGCACGCATAATGAAATCCAATATCATGATTGCCAACAACGGTTTTAACTAATGTTTTCGTTTTATCATGATGAAAAATATCGCGAAATCTTCTCACCAAATGGCTGAAATCATCATTTGTAGCCCATTTCCCTTCATCCAAAATATCTCCTAATATTATAACGGCATTAGGATTATGTAAATATAAGGAAGCTTGGAAAGCACGCTTCATTTGCCAATCCCTAGAATCATAAAGGCGAAATACAAACACTGAATATTAATTCAGCATCATAGAGTTTTATTAAAATATCCTATTTAATGTTTTTATGTTACAATAATAAACAGATAATTCATGGGCAGTTCTTTCATTTTTATTAGTTTGATGAGATTGTTCTGCAAAAGAATGTCGTAGATAGTCAAAAGTCTATAAATCCTGTATAGTGAACCAACAATGATGCTCAACTAACCATAGATGTTTAGTGATTGAAGATGGATAACTCTTCATCTATTAAAAGAAGTATTTTTTACTCTGACCCCGACGTATTAGTATATTACCTCTATAGTACTCTCAGGAAAAACTAAAAACATCTTTAGTCCCTGTGCTTTAGTATAAGTAGCGTTTCGGTAGAAATAATTATTTAACAACCAATTTTGTTATTAAATTTGGTATCGAAAACTTCAGTGACTAGATTAGAAATTGATTTCTTAGTACAAATGTTTGAGATGGGTAGTACGATCATTTTGTAACTTAAATATGTGATTAGAAATTATTAAATAGGTAGCATCCAAGATGTTGACTGTTAATGAAGTTTGTCTGTTACTTTTTTAATCATCCATCATAAGTCACTACATTTTAAACTTGAGATGTGAAAGAGACGTATGTTGTACTTTCGTATACTTTTCAAAGAAATATCTCAGTAGTTACGTAATAATCTGCTAGATATACCTGATGTGTGAAGACCAATTATATTATCCAATTGCCTAAACTTTGATAAATCAAATGGTACTTCGATCAGTGATTTAATAGTTGAAAGTCAAGTAAACAAACCGAAGGTTGTCAGTGATTATTTTTCTTATAACAATGGGGTATGAGAATTTTAAGTGAAAACTCAAAAGTTGACGTAGTCTGAGTAACATGTTAACATTACTGATAAAATATATTTTCTTTGGACTAGATACGCTTACTAGATACGTCAGTACTCTGAATGATCTAAAAAAATGAAAATTTTACGAATAAACATGAATTTCAAAGTCCTGAATAGTTATAGATGTGCACATTTTGGTGTAAATGAGAGGAGAACATAAGACGATGTGATGTTGAGTCCAATTGTGAAATAACTTGGTCAGTGCATGGTACACATTAAGGACGTCAAGTTTTATATTACAGGTATTTGAATTTTGGGAATTACTTATAAATTACTGTCTCAACAGAAATGTACAATATTGGTTTTTAGTCACGGATGATGCAAGATGTTTACATATACGGCGAAGTACCTCCACCATTCGTTATATACTTACAACCATATATCTACATAGTTTCGTATATCTTCAGTAAGTGAACATGTAGTAATTCCGGGCAGGCAGAGAACTAATGTTGTTTGATAATAACTAATAATGAATATGTTACCGTCATAGACAGCTCTCAAGCAGTCTACAATTTTGAAAGGCAAAACTGAACATATAAATACTTAATATTTACATTCCCGACCTTTGTTGCTATCTTGACGTGATGGTCGGGTTTGCCTATCGTGATGAAGCAACCGAGCTATACTGACTGGAACAACTGTTCCTCAAGGTCCTACCACGTCAGAAAGGTCGGTTGAAGAGCAGTAAGACTAAAAGCAACAAACCCAAGGTCCGAAGGCGAAGTCGTACTGCTGACTGTACAGAGGTGTGACATCAGTAAGGTGTTTCCTTCAGACAACCAGCATGACAGCGATGCTGCCCTCCCACAAGGAGGGGTGGGGTTAGAAAAGGTCGACCCTAAAAATGCACACCTCGCCTTATCCCACGGATAACCGTCTCCGGCGGTAAGGTCTCAACAAGTACGGAGCTAACACAAAAATTGCCCATAAAAAAGTCGTGTGTGGCCGACCTCAAGCAGTTGTCACTTGGGCACTGCGGTCACGCTCCCAGGTCACTAAGACCACTTCTAATACGATTTCCTTTTCAGGTACCTCCAGAAGAACCCTTCCACGGTGTGGGCAACTGGGAAGTGATAACCGCCCTCATAGCTCTAACAGCACTCAAGATCATTGTATTCATACTCAGTGACCCTCCTCACTTTCTATTATTCCTCCTACCTCGACTTCAAACTCTAAACTTCTTTTTTCGGCTTCCCCCTTAAGTGTCACCATAGCCAACGATTCTAGTGCTTAAAACACTGTCCCAGGTCTAATGAAACCTCGCTCCACACTACACATTGGAGCCTTCAATGTACGCACTCTATGTCGAATCGGTCAGCAGGCTTCCTTGGCTAGAATCCTAGAATCTTGTACCATTGATGTATGCTGTGTCTCCGAAACACGCATACAGGATCCCAGTGTGGTCATTCACTTGACCTCACCTCGGCAACACGGAGAGCCAATGAGATACACCCTCCGTGTATCTGGTGACCCGATGGCCAGCTCTCGTGGACTGACAGGAGTAGGGATAGCACTAAGCATGAGGGCGGAACAAGCACTGTTAGAGTGGATCCCCGTCAACAGTCGTCTATGTGCTGTTCGGCTAAACGGCTCCGTAAGAACTCGGAAGGATAGGGACACACGTCGTTGCCTTTTTGTCGTTTCTGCCTACGCTCCCACCGACTGCAGCCCAGATGAAATGAAAGATGAATTTTACAGAAAGCTATTTGAACTTCTTCAGAAAGCTAAACGTTCAGACATAGTACTCGTAGCAGGTGACTTTAATGCCCAGATAGGTAGTTTAAACCAAACAGAAAGGCATTTAGGTGGGTATTTTAGTATACCGGCACAACGAACAGATAATGGTGATCGTCTGCTGCAACTGTGCTCAGACAATCGTTTATTCTTAGCAAACACAAATTTTAAGCATAAGGAGAGACATCGTCTAACATGGCGACCCCCTACACCAAACCAACGATGGACTCAAATAGACCATATTGCCATCAGTCATCTTTGGAGAGGGTCGGTAGAAGATTGTCGCTCATTCTGGAGTACCTGCTTGGACTCCGACCATGCCCTAATACGGGCACGCATCGGCTTGCGCCTCACCGGACGCAAAAAAGCCACAGTAAAAAGACCAATTAGAACTGAGTTGAGTAACGAGAAAACCAAAAGTAGGTTCCAGGAACAACGGAGGTCACACTTAGGTAGTTCTGAAAACGAGGCTGACCCAGATGTTGCCTGGAAAGTTATACAAACAGCTGTGGAAACAGCAATGAAATCTATTAGTGACTTAAACCACAGAGTTACAAAGAACCAGTGGATTTCTTCAAAGTCTATCACACTGATGGATTCTCGCAAACTCGTCCCATCAGGTTCCGAACATGATGAAGAGCGACAACAAATCAGATTTAGGCTAACCAAGAGTCTAAGAAACGACCGTGAGCAGTGGTGGGCAACGAAAGCAAAAGAGATGGAAAAGGCGGCGACCATAGGGAACACAAGACAGCTCTACAGACTAATAAAATAAACGGGAATTAATTAGTCAAGTGTAAGTGAGATTATTTCGGAAAAAGACGATACTCTCATTAACTCCCAGTCCAGACGTTTAGAACGATGGGCGGAACATTTTAGGGAACATTTCAACTGGCTTTCAGCTACTCCACAACTATCCTCCATTCCCAGACAGTGTGAATGGAACATTGAAGTAGGTCCTCCAACTCTAGCAGAAGTTCGAAAGGCTATAGTTAATCTGAAACGAGGAAGGGCAGCTGGTCCAGATGAATTAGCTCCAGAAGTCTTTAAGGATGGTGGTCCAATTTTAGCGATTAGGTTGACTAATATTTTAGCTAAGATCTGGGACTTAGACGTTATTCTATCTGACTGGTCACAATCACTTATCGTCCCAACATATAAGAAAGGGTCAAAATCATCTTGTGACAACCATAGAGGGATTAGTTTAACTAATATAGTATCTAAAATACTAGCCTCGATAATTATCAGACGCCTAACTAAGATTCGTGAACTGCAAACACGAGAGAATCAAGCTGGCTTCAGACCTGGTCGTGGCTGCATCGACCACATATTCCCCGTTCGTCAGGTTTTAGAACATAGGCATACTTATCGGCGTCCGACAATGGTGGTCTTTCTTGACTGAAAAGCAGCATTTGACTCGGTAGACCGCGAGATTCTGTGGCAGTGTCTGTCATTGGAAGGCGTACCTCAGAAGTAAATAAACCTTGTGAAGGCTCTTTACTCGAACACTACCAGTCGAGTCAGAGCTTATGGCGAACTGTCATCTGCTTTTGCAACCTTAAGTGGTGTCCGTCAAGGCTCCCAACTTTCTCCATTTTTGTTTAACTTCATCATAGACCTGCTGATGAAAATAACATTCTCGTCGACTGAATTCTGAGGTATTGATCTTCTTCCAGGAGGTCCACTTGTAGTGACGAGACATCCGCTGCAACTCTTATTTCAGCCACTTCGCTACTTTCATGTATTGTCAATGAACCATATTTCGTGACCACCTTACCGCTTCTTAAGTCAACTATCGCTTTTACTTCTCTTAGGAAATCTGCTCCTAATATCGGTCTCGATAAGCTTGTGGTTACGACGAACGGAAAATTTATCTCAGCATCCCCCATTTTTACGATACTGCTAGATACGCCAAACACCTCTAACATATGGCCTCCTATCGTGTGGACAGCTAATGTACACGGCTTGATTCTCTTACATTGCTCTTTGCCTATTAACGATACTGCTGCACCTGTATCGATCAGACAAACTAAATCTCGCTCATTTATGTTCACTCTCGTATATACTGCCCCTCTGTCTACTAACGCAACAACCCCCAGATTCCTAGAATAGAAAGAACACTCGTTGTAACGTCTAACATATCTGCGTCTTCGTCTTGTTGGACAGTTTATCTTCCAATGTCCTGTCCCTCCACAAGCGTAACATTTATCGTTCCTTTTATTGTTCACTCGTATTGCTGCAATCTCACGCTCCAGCTCCTCAATCTTCTTCTCGACATTACTCATCTCCTGCTTTTCGCACCCGACCAGAGCTACTGTTCGCGTCATCAGCTGACGAGTCACCTTCGCCAGTTCACTGATATCCATCGGTTGTGCTGCGTTCACCAGTTTCAGCTGTTGGGAGACGGTGGAAGGCACACTCTCGATAAACTGTGACGCCAACAACTGTGCCTCCGACTCCTCATCCAGACTCGGCAGCGCACGGCGTAACAATCTGGTAAGCTCCACAGCCAGCACCAGTGGGTCACCATCGACCGGCAACCTCGCCAACCGGAACTTCTGCAGCGCGTCTTCTCTGTCCACTGGGCTGTCAATCTCCGCCGCCAACCGCTCCGTGACTGTCTCCTATGTCGTCTTCCCGCCAGCACCGTCCAGGCTGTCATACACAGCCTTCGCCCTGCCCCCTGAATGCCCTGGTACGGCCGAGAGTGGGGAGAGTCCGCTCTCCCTCTCGAAATACTCTCACACGGCCACGCGTATACAGCCTCTGCCAGGGAAGTCCTACTCATTGCCTTCTCGTGGAGGGGGTGTTGTTTACGAAAATGAGAGGACGAAAAGCGAATGTCCGGCGCTTTAACCGGATCCCAAATCAATGGTGCACATGGGCTCCAGTATCCTGCGGGAACGAATGGCGTATGAACCAATCGTTGGTCACCGGCTACCATGGGACTGCATCTCCTTACGATGCTCCACTGCCTTGTGGGTTAGACCTTTAGGTCAAAGGCTCGGGGAGTGGCCCCCTAAGATAACCACCTGCTTCGGTTTGGGCACCCGGGCAGTATCACAGCCCACACACAAATGATGAACTCTTTATGTCTATGGAAATTGCTTTTGTCGCTTTGAAAAACAATCAATTGATTCAAATTATGATCACTACAATTATTGTCATTATTAATACTAATATTATTATTACTACTATTATTGTCATTATTGTTATTATCATCATTATTATTATTATTTTCCACATTATTCACCTTCTTTTATACTTATACAGCGGCTCGTCTTTGGTGGAAGTCCGACTGTATCTAAACGTTCTCGAGTCACTGTCCGGTTGAAAATTGTATGTTACCACCGAATACGAGGACTGAAGCAGATTTTCTGAAACCACGTGCATCATTCAAACTGGCTGCCTTCAACGTTCGCACATTTATGCAGGTCAGACAACAGATAGGGCTAGCTATGTCTTTGGAAAGTCTTAATATCGATGTCTGCTGTCTATCCGAGACCCGTATTCAAGACTCTGGCGAAGTACTACAAATTCGCTCTCGATCTGTCGCTTCGAAAAGCCTGTTTTACGTGCGCTCATCCGGGGACCCTGTGTCATCTTCGTCCGGTCTTGCTGACGTTGGTGTCGCACTAAGCACTAGAGCTGAGGCAGCACTAGTCGATTGGATCCCCATTAACAGTCGGTTATGTGCTGTTAGATTAGAAAGTTCCATCAAAGTGAGAAGAAATCGGCGTGAGAAAAGATGTCTTTTCGTCATCTCCGCCTATGCCCCGACAGATTGCAGCCCGGATGCAATCAAGGATGAGTTTTACCACCAGTTATCTGTTCTTCTCCAGAAAGTGCGTTCGACAGATATTGTAGTACTAGCCGGAGACTTGAATGCTCAGGTCGGGCGTCTAGGCACAGAAGAGAGGCGTTTAGGTGGCCGATGGGGACTCGTTGGTCGTAGGTCAGATAACGGGGCCGTCTTCTGCAACTGTGCACAGACCACAACCTGTTTCTGGCTAGCACTAACTTTCGGCACAGTCATTGCCGATGTGCCACCTGGCGTCCTCCCTCTGCATCCCAAACATGGACTCAGATTGATCACATCGCGATCAGCTACCGCTGGCGTGGTTGTGTACACGACTACCGTTCCTTTTCGAGTACCCATCTGGACTCTGACCATGCCTTGGTCTGCGCCAATCTTGCCTTACTTTTCAGTGGACAACGAAGTGACCGCCATCAACGGATTGATATTAGCAAGCTGGTTGCAACTTCTGTTGCAAATAAGTATGGAACCGAGCTAGCCTCTAGGCTAGCAACCACTCCACCGAAAAGTATAGATAAGCATTGGTTGCAATTGCATGACGCCATAAAAATGGCGGGAACAGTCAGTTGTGGGTTCGCGAAACGTCCCGCTTATAAGCACTGAGTTTCTTCAGGTTCCTTACAACCCATTGAAGCCTGTCGGTCTACTCCGAGTGACCGTGAGTTTGACCACAAACGACGACTGTAACGTAAGGAAATCGGGCAAAGCTTGAGTAAGGACCGAGAAGCCTGGTGGTCGGAGCGTGCTAACGAGCTGGAAACAGCAGCTGCATCTGGTAATTACCGGAAACTCTTTCAACTCATCCGAGCCACTGACAGCAAGAAGTCTGGTGTGAGCGAAACAATCTGTAAGGATGACGGGATGTCAATCACCAACATCCATCGACGTCTTGGACGATGGGCAGAATTTTTCGAAGGGCAGTTCAACTGGCCTGCTGCTCCGGCAACATCGGTCAGATTGTCCTGCCCTCCATGGTCGGTGACGACTGATCCACCAAACGAGGAGGAAGTCCGCAAGGAACTCCAACTCTTGAAGCGTTACAAATCACCTGGCCCAGATGACTTACCTCCGGCTCTTTTGAAGGTTGGTGATTTCTTTCTGACTAAGGAACTGACGACGTTGTTTACAAAGGTTTGGGAACTAGAGAGTGTACCAACGTCATGGAATGAGTCGATAGTTGTCCTTATCTTTAAAAAGGGTTCACGTCGTTCCTGTAACAACTAGCGGGGGATAAGTCTACTTCCGATTGCGTCCAAGCTATTGGCTTCCGTCGTACTTCGTAGGTTGTTCAAAACCCGAGAAAGATTGACTCGCGAGAAGCAGGCTGGGGTTCGTTCTCGTCGAGGATGTATTGTTCATATCTTCACCCTCCACCAAATGTTAGAACACCGCCATACTTATCAAAGGCCAACAATCGTAGTGTTTCTTGACATCACGGCTGCCTTCGATTCGTTGGACAGGACTGTTCTCTGGGATTGTTTATTGAAGAAGGGTGTGCCTGAGAAGTTTATTAACATCCTAAAGGCCCTATATAAAAACACCTCAGGCAGAGTGAGGGCATACAACCACCTTTCTCCATTGTTCCATTCGAGCAGTGGGGTTAGGTAGGGTTGCCCAATCTCACCATTCCTCTTCAACTTTGCCATCGGCAACATTCTGAAAACAGCCCTGATGGATGTAAGTAATGGTGGTGTGGATCTGTTGCCTGGAGAAAGACTTCTCGACCTTGAGTATGCGGACGATATTGTCTTACTGTGCGATAATGCCCAAGGCATGCAATCCGCACTTAATCAGTTGGCAATCAGTGTCCGTAGGTATGGTATGTGCTTTGCACCTTCGAAGTGCAAAGTACTCCTACAAGACTGGCAGGATTCCAATCCTGTACTCACCCTAGATGGTGAGCAGATAAACGTAGTCGAAAAGTTCGTGTATCTGGGTAGCTGCATAAGTGCTGGTGGGGGTGTGAGTGATGAGCGGCCACCTTTGGCGCCTTCGTGATGTTAGCCTGGTTGTAAAAGGTCCGAACTACAACGCGTCAGTGAGAGCAGTTTTGCTCTATCCTTGTGAAACCTGACCTCTCCGAGTTGAGGACGTTAGACGACTCTCTGTGTTCGATCATCGCTGTCTCCGAAGGATTGCTGACATTCAGTGGCAACACCATGTCAGTAATGCAGAGGTTCGGCATCGTGTGTTCGGGCACAGAGATGATAATTCAATTGGTGTTACCATCTTGAAACACCGACTTCGGTGGCTTGGACATGTTCTCCGAATGTCGTCCCAGAGAATTCCACGTCGTGCATTATTTGCCGACTTTAGGACTGGTTGGTCGGTCCTTCACGACTCCCTGGTTGGGGTCTGAGAGATGGTGCTACATAGTGGCTAGAGACGTTATGAGATGTGGCTCAGAATACAAGCCAGTGGCGATCCTGATGTAACCTTCTTTTACTTTCTTCATAAAAAGTGGTTGTGTCTCCTTTACCTGAAGGATTTCTTCTGATTGTACCTTTCCGTTCCCTCATTACTACCACACTACCTTACACCAATCTCTTTGTTATTGTTCTCTTTTTTTGCGCTCCTTAGCTTTTTTTTCAATTTCTCTTCGAATTCTTATTGTTTTGTGTGGCGCATATATATTGGCGCTCTCTTGTACCAATATTCATGTGTTCAAATAAAATAATAAAAATAAGATTGACGGGGCAATATCACTAGCTATCACAAAAGGATTAGTTTTATTGACTAATAAATATTCCATCGTTCCGTCGAAGTTATCACAAACAAACTACAAGGTTTATTGGCATTCCAACAAGCCAGTTCGATTGAAAGATGTTGATGAACTTATGGACACTCATATTTAGTATATGGTATTATATTACTTTAAGTTACCAAGTACTTAAAACTCCTGACATTGGTCGAAACCTACTCACTTATCGAAGAATCTTAAATACAAAAAGTCTGACACTTTTAATTTTAAGTCATGCAACAAAACGACTACGGGGGCTACGTAAATATATGTAAAGATAATAAATGATTCAAACCTTCTAATGCGGTCGATGGGGTGACCTAGAACGTATCCGACGAGATGTGTGTCTGCAAGTACCATTAAATTGACAACCGCAGTGTCGGGATTTTGTATGTTTTTCACACTAGCAGTGAATGGGTCGGGCCAATTACAATTGTATAGTGTGAAGTAATAAACAAGATATTCACACATCCATATTAAAGCAGCAAAATACAAAACCAAGTACCACCTTCCTCGAAATATAATAAGATTATGAGTTTCTGTAAGAAATCGGATGCCGAACAGTCTTCTGGTATTCTAAAACAAAGAACAGAATTTGTTTACAATTTAGAAGACAAAACAAGAATGAAAAGTCTATATTATTGTATCAAAGTTTATTTTGACATATATTTGTAGTAGAGTTCTCCAACATCATAGATCCCAATAAACTTCCAACCATCTTCTTTCATGTGATACACTGTAAAAAAAAATTTATAAGTTACAGAAAAAACATACGGTTAACAAATCCACCAGACGCTGCATCGCGGTGTGTTGCATGAAATATTGACCGCCTAGCAAGTTCATACGCATCTTCATCATTCATTTCATATTTATAACCAGTATCTAAAACACCATAGGCATAGGGACTTCCCGATCCCACAGAAAACAGGTTTCCAGGGGTTCTGTTGCCATCAGTATCAACATAATATATACCAGGCCCATTTTTGTCCCAACCAACAATAGTTGTACCAATACTGAGACCCATTCCTTTGTAATTGTAGACCATGTTGGCCAACAACTTTGACGCAGCGGCGACGGATATCCTTTCTTTATTCCGCAGCTCAAACAACCTAAAAAAATATAAGTATGAAGTTTTAGGCATCACCTGCAATGCTTAGCCAAAACGCGCTCCCAGAATTGGCAGTCCGCAGCACCTCCAGCCATTGTTCCGAGGAGATACTTGTTGATCTCGATTATTTTCTTAGTAGTACCAGAGGCTAGATAATGAATTGGGAGTATCAGAAGGCTCACCAATATAAGATCCAGCTGTTGCACGCGAGTCTGTTGCAACGATGACGCCACCAGAATATTTGAGTGCAAGAGTAGTGGTACCGTGTAAAAAATTAATCTTCGTTTCTTTGCACTGTATCCCATATTCTATCGGTTGTACGTAGTTCTAGGACCCTTATAGTAAGGCAAATCCAATACCTCAGTTTTTCGACTCCGGTAAAGATCAACCTCCGAAAGATGAGTATACACATTTCTTGATTCAGGATCTTTTCCTAGACTATTCACAGTTTCAAAACCAGTTATATCCAACAGGGCCATGACAAAGAAAGTGGGACGTACAACTTTGTATAAGCGCCAGATTTCAAGCATCAAACTTTACTAAGCGGACCAGGTGAAATTTTTGTTACTTGGAGTCCATGTTTGACTACTAAAGAACCATTCCAAGTTGCGATAAGTATAATTCTTGCGATTCTACCTCTGGAAACTGAGGGACGAAAACAAACTAGTTAACAACAGGAAATGTTGAGCACGAACGCTTAGAGCAATCTTTAGCAGTAAACCTCATAAATATGTAGTTCAGAAAGTCTACGACATTGATGCTGACCCAACTAGTTTTGCTGGACACACTTTAGCTGAAGGCTCTTTATCACGAATCCTCACTGAATCCTGAGTCGGTACACCGTGCTACAGGTCCCCTGAAAATAATAGCCATCATAGACTGAACGCTTCTCAACATATCAGTAGTCTACTAAATATTTCTCCGGACCCCTTCGTTCATGACTTCTGACTTGATTGTGCTGGTATCCTTCGATTATAAAGGTGTTACGTGTAAAAGTACTGTCAAGCTCGGAATACGACGAGCGCTATTAAAAAAGGACAGTGGTATTGTTTCTCGTTGAGTTAAATTTACCGTTTTGATCATAAGTTACCCATCAAGACTACTGTTTGATTTTTATGTGTGTTTCGGTCTTGCTTTTGTGTATTCATTGCATCAAAGCATACTTGCTCGGCTTTGACTTTATTTAGTTAGTGTTTAAGTTTTTTACATATCCACTTTGTGTTAACATTTTTAGTCAATTTTTAGGATGGCCGGCTCTGCTTACAAACGTGGACAGCCGTACTGTCTATTCCCTGTGGAAGAAGGAACGCAATGTGACAAGTGTAAGAATTGATTCTATAAGGCGTTTACCCGCTTAAGATCCATTGCCTATAAAAGGTGCTCAAAACCTAACTCTTATTGGCTCTCCATGTTCTGTTGTTCGAGAAAAACAATACTCACTCGAGAGGCAACTAGCCACCTGGCAGTGGCTAGTAAAAAATTGGCAAGGGCTGCACTGGTAACATGGGTACTGATATTGAAGTTTGAGTCAGTGTCGTAAGTGCTGTCACAGCACTTGCCAGACACCCAACTGTGCAACATGCAGTAGGGCTTTCTATCTCAAATCAATTAATGAGCAATACGCCATTAGATATCAGTGTCCAAGTTACTACAGCAGCTACCGATGATGCAGATAAAAGCATTACCGTCCCTAGTTGTTCTAATGTGGATGCAGTGACTGATGGGAAATGGATATGCGGAAACGTAGAAGAGTAGGAAAGGTAGCCAAAACTAGCACTGTTTAGTTGAAAAGTCCTTGATGGACTCACATTCTGCGTGTCAGATTACTCCGCCAAAGTCCTAAAGTAATTTCTCACCGAACATTGTTGTGAGTCATGCGCTCGACTCCCACGTTAACAGTTAACAGACAGGATCTGACATCACGGTCGATAGCCGTGAACACGGCCCTTAAAGAGGCTAAACCATTACCTAGTTTAATTATTTGGACTGCTAAAAGATACGCACGCGATCTGCAGTGAGAGGAATTTGTAATCATAAATGTGTTGGCTGAAGAGGTTTCAGCAGTACACATCACGAAAGTATTAATACTCGGTAGATGAGTTGGAGGCGAAATCTAATCAAGAAGGATCTTTAAGTCGGTGCTCGGGGATTTCGAAGAAAGAGACGTAATATTGAATAACGCACACAAGACTCGTGATTCAAATACTTGTATCCGACCAGATGGGTCGCTTAAGAATCAAATCAAGTGGAAGAATGTTCTTACGGAGTTAAGAACTCGAAAGCTAAATGGCGAAACCTGAAGCTATGGAAGCGTAGGAAACACTTCTGAGACTTATTGTTGTCGACAGGACACGCACCATTTATTGTGAATATCGAAAAATCCGGAATATATGTAAAAAGACCACAGTTAAATCCCGTATTACTTACGATCGAGAGTTGACATATGATAGCCGTGCTTGTCTAAAACGATTGTTTTCGTATGTTAAACGGCGAAAAATACGTAGTGATGGTATTCTTCTGTTACTGTTATACGAAAATCCAGATTTACATACAGAATCAGATCGAGCAAAAGCTGAGACTCTCAAACTTTTTAGCGAAATCTACTCCACATGCATTTTCGCAAATAATTGTCCCAGTCACACCGAGATATCAGCCATAAGATCTGTAAATGCGAATGAGGAAATCGTTTTTCCATTGATAACTAATTTCAGCACTTGTAAGACACCGGGCCCTGACGGGTTATATTCACGACTGCCATCATCTCTTGCAGACATTATTTCAAGACCGATCGCGACGCTCCGCAAAATGTCCCTTTCACTCTCTCAACTACCTGGAGATTGGAAAGACGCTACAGTCGATCCTGTATTTGAGGATGGTCAGAAACAGATAGTATCTAACTACCGGCCTGTCAGTCCAAACAGCATAGTCGTTAAGTTAGTTGAAAAGATAATTCTGGTTAAGCTGTAGTGGCATTGGACAATAGCCACACAATCCACAAAGCTGTGAACACGAGACTACTCAGAAAATAGATATTCAATATTTAACACGGAGAAATACCTAAGAATGGAGAAGGCGCGAACAATGAATTGAATGGACTGGGTTTGATCGGATGACATGGGTCGGCCATGCAGGCGTGGTCCATCTGAATGTTACCTTATATCTTCTGTTCATATTAAATATATTGTTCCTTCTTTAGAATAACCTTGTTCTACATCATGTATTGGTAATTGATACGATACAGTGAGTTGGCGTAGTCGATGGTGTGACTTCTACGTAAGATCTTATAAATTAGGACAATATCACAAAAGTTCAATACGGCCTTTCTTCAGGATACTAACAAACTTAACGAATTCAAGATAGCCTTCAGGAACAAGTTCCAGGCCTTTCATGATCTACTCAATGGAGAAGGAACTACTATGGAGAGCAACTGGAAGGGGATCAAAGAGGCAATCATGAGGTCCTGGGTCACAAGAAGCACCATCACAAGGAGTGGATCACTGTTGATACACTGGATAAGATTCAAGAAAGAAGGAACAGGAAGGCAGCAATCAACACTAGTCTAACAAGAGCAGAAAAAGCCAAGGCACAAGCTGAATACACGGAAGTAAACAAGTAGGTGAAGAGGAGCTTCATAACCGACAAACGTAAATATGTAGAAGATTTAGCAACAACGGCGGAAAAGGCTGCAAGAGAAGGAAACATAAGACAACTGTATGACACGACACAGAAACTCTCTGGAAATCGCCGCAAACCAGAACGACCAGTGAAAAGCAAGGAAGGCGAGGTAATCACCAACATTGAAGAGCAACAAAACAGGTGGGTAGAACACTTCAATGAACTATTGAATCGACCAGCCCCACTGAACCCATCCAACATCGAAGCAGCATCCACGGACCTCCAAATCAATGTTGGCCCACCAACAATTGAAGAAATCAGCATGGCCATCAGACAAATCAAGAGTGGCAAAGCAGCAGGACCAGACAACAATCCAGCAGAGGCACTTAAGGCAGACGTAGCGACAACTGCAAGGATACTCCACATTCTCTTCAATAAGATTTGTGATGAGGAACAAGTACCAAAAGACTGGAAAGAAGGACTTCTGATCAAAATACCGAAGAAAGGCGATCTCAGCAAGTGTGATAACTACAGGGGCATCACTCTTCTCTTAATACCGGGAAAAGTCTTCAACAGGGTATTGTTAAACAGGATGAAGGACTGCGTAGACGCCCAACTTTGTGACCAACAGGCAGGATTCCGTAAGGACAGATCGCGTACAGACCAAATCGCAACTCTACGGATCATTGTGGAACAATCAATTGAATGGAATTCATCACTCTACATCAACTTCATTGACTACGAAAAG